TCTAGTTTATGCAGAACTTACCCAGTATAACATACTGGAGAATAAGCTAACACACAGGTAATGTCCCGTAAAATATACTGGATTCAAACAAAACTCAATTATATTCTAGTCTTAGAACTTATCCAGTATAACATAAAAAATATTACACACAGGTGACGTCCCGTAAAATATTCTGGATTCAAACAAAATTCAATTATATTCTAGTCTTATAACTTATCCAGTATAACTTATTGGAGAATAAGCTTATACACAGGTGATGTCTCGTAAAATATACTGGATTCTATCAAAACTCAATTATATTCTAGTCTTAGAAATTATCCAGTATAACATACTGGAGAATAAGCTTACACACATGAGATGTCCCGTAAAATATACTGGATTAAAACAAAACTCAATTATATTCTTGTCTTAGAACTTATTCAGTTTAACATACTGGAGAATAAGCTTACACACAGGTGACGTCCCGTAAAATATTCAGGATTCAAATAAAACTCAATTATATTCTAGTGTTAGAACTTATCCAGTATAACATATTGGAGGAAAAACTTACACACACGATTTGCAGATTGACGACGGAAATTTTGCTAAAACTTCGATTTGCAGATTGACGCAGAACGATTTTGCTAACACTTTGATTTGCAAATTAACGCCGGAAGATTTTGCGAATACCTCGATTAACGCCGAAATATTTTGCTAATATTTCGATTTACAGATTGACGGCGAAAATTTTCCTAATAACTCGATTTGAAAATTAATGCCGGAAGATTTTGTTAAGTTTTGCTAAAAGAAGAATTTAAGGTGAAGTCGCGTAAATTAATAAAAAAAGCAGGGGTATTTTAGTCAACAAAATGTTACCGCACTAAATTAGTGGCTAAATATCGTTGACCGGTGATTATGTGGCTACATTTGATTGACCAGGCGAAAAACTGGCCATTTTTGGATTTTTCGCTCAGAGAATAGGATTTTCATCGGGTTTTATTTTTATTTTTATAATAAAAAAATTTCTAAACTCACTGAATAATGAGCCAGCTCTAAGAATAGGATATTCATTGTATTCCTTCTATTTTATATTTCTTGATTAAATTGTCAATTTATAATTTAATGTTCCTTTAAAAACCTTTTTCTAGAAATTAACATGTTGTATTAAATAAATGAGGTCGAAAGAACAACTAACTTTTGCATTATTGAAGCACTAGAATAAAATCAAATCTTCTTTTTATATATACAGACTACTCAAACTGTCAACTCATATCATATTCAAACAAGAAGTTAGAATAAACAACTTTTGCATTATGGAAACACTGGAATAGACTCTTTATTTTATATAGACAGACTACTCAAACAAACCTGTAAAATCAAGTATATCACTAGAAGAACATGTCAAAACATTAAAGAACAATAATTTGAATAAAATATAAATGAACCAAGTTGGCCATTGTTGTCGTCTTTTACAGGTTTGAAGACTAAGGGTATAATTCCATATGAACCAAAAACGATACTAATAATTTATGCCTCCGGCTGCGTGTCAAGTCCTACAAAAGTAATATATTTTAGCCGATCCAACAATGATCGACAACAACCTTAAAAAATTCGAGCAACATAGATAATAACAACTCTCACTTCTTGTTAACAACCAGACACTTTATAGGACTATAGCATTGGGTGGTCCCAATAGCTAGTTGACTCTATTGCTGTAGAAAAAAGAACCAAAGCAAAACTAACGAACGACTTTATTGGGCAGAGCCTATAGAGGGAAAAAAGGAGGGGGAAATGAGCTTTAGGTGAAGACAAGACAGAGCTAGCCTCAATTAGGAGAAATTTTCATGTGAATAGAACTAATGGTCTACTACAACAAAGTCATAAAACTGAATTTTGTAACCAAAAAAAAAAAAAAATACTTCAACTTTCCCTGTATATGTCGTAAGAAAATAGCAGGAAAGTCATCAACCTAGTGCCAAAAATTACTACTAATAAGCTACATAAAATTGTCAAATAAGCATGGAAACATAATAAGTTCATCTCCATAAGTCTTAATGATGGCAAACTTACCTTTTAAATTTCAATCAAGTAAAATATTACTTAGTAATTTATGGCAATTGCTATTTGTTAATTTGCAGAATTCAGAAAGGAAATCTGATTGAACAAAATACTTAAAGAAGTTACATATATAGTCGAGCTTGCCTTTACCGAGATACTCAATACCTCTATATAGGAGAGCAATACATGCTCCAGAAACTAGAGCAATGTGTCTTGAACTTATATTGAATGCGGTTAATATAAATTTTGCTGATTTTTTTTTTTTTATAATCGTCAATTAAAAGGAGTCATTTTCTCAATTTTTATTATAGCTATTGCAGCCGCTGAAGCAGCCATTGGACTGACTATTGTTTCATTAATTTACCGTAACAGAAAATCAACTTGTATCAACCAAGCAAATTTGTTGAATAATTAGTATATGTGACAATTAGAATATTGCTCACTACTCAAAGCCTTCATAATTTCTTTGTCAGTTTCTATCACAATGTATTGTGAGGAGATAACTTTATGCCACTAAAGATTGCTTGCAAATATTGGTAATAATAAACTAATAAAATTTCTCACAAATTAGTCGCCAAGAAGAAACCAGAAAATGTATTAACGTTAATTAGGGAGCTGGATTCATTCATATTACTATCTAGGAACCTTCTGCATCATTAATTAAGAAGATTGCAACCCTTGGAAGCCAAGTACAGATAGATACTCCAAAAAGCTGTCAACTGAAGGTTAATGCTTTCAAAAGTCGAAAATATTCCATTCAACAATTTTCAGAAGGCTTCTTCTCATATGCTTACTTGCCTATAGGTATAATTATCTAAACCTTTACTTGGCAGCTTAATTGAGATGAAAGGGGGAATCGATTAAAGAAATCACTGACCAAAATTTTGACAAGAAAACAGCTTGTGTGGTTGATACCATGAAACCGACCAACTTTGGCCGGTAAAAAACGGCCAAAAACCGACCAACTTTGGTTGGTTTTTGAAATACTTTAATTTTTAATTTTTTTTTACGAAACCGACCAATTTTGGTCGGTTTTCTTTGACGCAAAAATGCGGGAAATTATTTTTGAGTCCCGCGAAATTTTGTTTTTCAAGAAACCGGCCAACTTTGGTCGGTTTTTGCTATTAAAATAAATAAAAATTAATATTAAAAAAACCGACCAACTTTGGTCAGTAAATTCGGCCGGTCATTTTAAAGTTGGTTGGTTATTTTCGTGCGAAAATACAATTAAAGAGTATAAAAAAAAAGACAATCTTAAAACAAAATGCACCAATGGTCTAGTGGTAGAATAGCATCCTGCCACAATACACACCCCGGTTCGATTCCCAGATGGTGAATCTTTTGATTACATAATTAAAATACCGACCAACTTTGGTCGGTTTTTTTTTGCAATATTTTTTTTTTGCGGCCACAAAAATACCGTCCAAGCGTATTTGGTCGGTAATTGGCCATAACCGACCAAAGTTGGTCGGTTTTTTTGGTCGCTAATTACCGAATTTCTAGTAGTGTTTCCTCTCCCAATTCCGACCTAAAGTGACATGTGCACCCTTTCTTCAGAAGCTTGCCAACCTAGAAGCTTGCCAGTCACGCTTGACCTGCCCTCCGTCATGGGCATCACACTGATTTATTAAGATTAATCTTTTACTAGCTATAATGACGGAATGCTATACCATGAATTAATCGAAGTACAACTTAGTGGACAAACTCTAGTGCTTCGTCTCAAATGCAGCAGCATATGTACTGATTAAAGTGAAAATTACGGGCAGCAAACTACTAAATTTGCAAGAGAATGTGCTTCCCCTCCCTCCTCTTCCCCCCCCCCCTTCCCCCTCCCCCTCTCCCTCCTAGCTGTTACAAACATTATATCGACTTTGGATCAGTTAAACAGTTGGAATGATTAAGATGACCTGTGGATTCTTTCTTCTTCTTCTTGAAATGTTTAAAAGCTGCTTTCAGCAACCTTAGCCCATCCCTGCAAAGCAATAACATATTGAAGAGTAGCAAGACTTGTGAAATCACAAATTGGCAAAGAGGATACAACAGCAATTACTCTACTTAAGTACTAGACTTTTTTGATGATGCTTACCTAATTAGGATGATATTCAGTTCTTTTTCTAATGGAATTCAGTCCACTAGATTCATAAAATCAAGAAAAATATCCAAACACACATTGTATAAACACATGTAGATAAGGTGCCAACGAATGTAATATAACACCTACACTCATTATTTCTTTGTAATAATGAGTTCACGCTTACTGTAAAGATATATATTGAAAAATATATCTATGTACTGTCAAAGAATATCCAATCTAAACAGGTAAAAGCAACCTAGAGAGTGATCAAAAGACCTTTTTAAACCCATTCAGATGTCTTATTTTACCCAATTTGAAATGGTATATACCTCAACTAACATATATATAGCTCCACCCAAAAGCTATGTTGCACGGACTCTGCGAGTACTGTCGCACTTGTGTCGGATCCTCCAAAAATTCACTACTTATGGAGGATCCGACATGCAACCAACGACATTTTCGGAGAGTACGAGCAACATAGCCCAAAAATAGTTACTACCCCATGTCCATGTTAAAGCAGAAAATTGCAAGACACAGAAGAAAACACCTAAAATGGCAAGTAAAATCAGCAGCCAAGGAAGGAAGATCGTGGGTTGGTGTTACCTTTCTTGGAGAAAAATGAGTGTCCATACTTTCATCAGATATGAGAAAGTTGTAGTGACCAGTATTTCCTTTTGCTGGAAGATAAAGAAGACAGAAAGCAGCCAACGCAAGATAGGATGGCCCGACGAAGACAAGATAGTTGTCATGATTTTACGGGTTATATCATTTTGATAGTTCCAGTTTTTCTTACACTGTCTTATGCTTGTTAATTTTTTCAGTTATTAATTATTATAAGTTCGGAGCTAACATTTCAAAGCTAAAACTAATTCAATGGTTTCACACACATACTATGAACTTGGCCACATTGAAAACACAAAAAGCATGCACCTAGATAATACACAAATCACCATATGGATAACAACATTAGTTTTCATTTGTGGCTCTTCACTTCCCATCAAGAATGGTCTTGAGCAGAAGTCTTAAAGAAACAAAGGAAGAACCACTTTCCATCAAGACCTCTCTGCTTTTGTCCCTCATTTCTTTCACTCTTTTCCTCACTGGATTTTCACTATCCATTATGCATCTTATAACATTCTCAATCTCCTCTGCTCTTACTATTCCTCCATCACTGTTGTTCTCCATCCTGTAATCCATTCTCAGCTCCACTGCCAGCTCAAGATCCTTCACCATCTGAAACGCATTCATCTGCTGCTCACCATATAAAGGCCATGTCACCATTGGAACTCCATGCCATAAACTCTCCAACGTCGAGTTCCATCCACAATGAGATACAAAACCAGCAGTGGCTTTGTGAGCCAAAACATGCACTTGTGGTGCCCAACCACACACCATTCCCCTGTCTTTAGTCCTAATCAAGAATCCTTCTGGCAATAGCTCATCAAACTTGCCATATTCAGAACCAAGGGGCATTTTTATTGACCACAAGAACCTCACCCCGCTTTGTTCAAGGGCATTTGCCAACTCTTGTAGCTGTAGAACCTCTAAAGTTCCCATGCTACCAAAGCACAGAAATAGCACAGATGATGGTGGCTGATCTTCTAGCCATTTCATGATTTCTTCCTTATTGTCCTCCCTACCCTTTTGACCTGCAAGGTCAAGATGCGGTCCTATTGTATATACTGGAGGTAGTTGAGGGTCAGATGCTAATGAATTCACAGCATGAGGTTCAAGTTCAGCAAATGTGTTGATGAGAATTCCTTTGGTTTCTTTGAACCTGGCACCATGGTTCATGAATGCTGCGTAACCTTCCTTATTGAAAGCAAACGTTGGTAAGACATTTGAGGGTACTAAGTCGGCATAGGCAGGTAAATCTAAATCAGGATCCGAGAGGCTAAATTCCCTCCCATGTTGGCTATGCCAAACGGAGAGGTAAAGCACAAAACCAAGAAAACCTGCACCTGAAGTGAAGAAAATATAGGGAGGAATCCCAAGTTCATTTGCTACGTCAATCATTGAACTGCAAAACATATCGATGACTAGGCCAACGATTTTTGGGCTCGAGTCTCTCCATTTGTTGTTGATAATTGCATCTTTGGCGAGAGGTTTATAGCTTGATATCAGAAGAGAGAGGAAATTCTCTACAGATTTGGTAAACTCTTCTAAGGGCGGCGGTTCAACTTGAGGAAGAGTGATGAATCTGATTCTATCACCCCTAGAGGAGAAACTATCAACATATTCATCTATGCCTGCATCAAATGGTGGCTGAAGCTTGATGATGATTATGGTTACACATAGTTCTTCAGCAAGATTGAGCAAGTTCACTGCAAACTTGCATGTGGGAACAAGGTGACCTAATCCTGGAGAAGGAACAAACACCAGCTCTGATCTTGTCATACTTGAAGCTAATTACAAGATGAAGACCAATTGAAATAATGGTTTGTTGTGTATATATAGCAAGGCTTAAGGAGCTCATAGGAAGTTCATTTTCATTTTTCTTTTCCCATTGACAATATTCTTTTTTTTTCGACGATGCGACAGGAACTGTTTATAGTAACACTTCATAACATGGAAAACTGACTTATCAAATTACTTAAAAGCCAACTGCTAGTAGCGGAATTGCTTCAACTATAGAAAAGCTTCCACTTCTGATTGATAGGTCTAACAGTTCGAGTTACTTAGTGAAGAATCACTACAACTAGGCCTTAGTCCCAAACAACTTGGGCTCCGCTATATGAATCCTCCACGTTACTCCATTTAAAACTCATCTCATACCAATATTATGCAATTGGCTAATTTACGCTAGCTGCCAGCCTACCAGTTATTATTCAACATTTTTAGAGGTGTGGTGGGGTAAAGCAGAAAGAAAGAAGAAAAAGAAGATTTTAAAAAACACATCATGTAATTGTTTTGCCTCCATCTTGGATGGGAACAGCTGAATTTTGGATAAGGTCAGAGAACAGGATGTCCATGTTACCAAATAACAATTGTATTCCTTCTATTTTATCTTTCTTGATTAAAATGTCAACTTATAATTTAGAATTCCTTTTAGATACTAATTAAAACTTCAGTACAACAGGCATTATTAAATAAAAGAGTGTTTGAGATCCACTGCAGAATAAAAAGTTTACAAGCCTATAATAAACTATTCCAGCACTATTGAAGCACTAGAATAGAATCAAATTGTTACGAATGAGGCTTCCTGAATATTTGCAATGTTTTCGAAATTACACTTTAGTCCTGAAAATAATAGTAATCCTTACTCTGACCCCTGTAGTTAGTTTTTTACATTTTCTTTTTTCCTCGTTTTCTTTTAAGTACCGAATGTAATAAACTTTCCAGAGGATATGTTGAATGAAAATTGGGTCTTTCTTTTCTCTGCATTTCATTTCTTTCTTTTTAGTTCTTGTTTTCCATTTCCATGACGATTCCAACGTGGGAATCGTTACAATTGGTATCAAAGCCGACGGTTCTCGGCTGTTCATCGGTTTTAATGGCAGAGTCCGACATAGGTTTGAATCAGTTGGAGCAACAGATTCAAGCTTTATGGAAAAATCAAACAGAAAACTGCAACATATGGAAGAATGGTATCAAAATCATTTTCGGACCTTTCATAGTTCACCAAATCTTTACGAGGTTCAAATATCGGAGAGTGAGCAGTGGGTTTCCGGCGACCAGTACGCAAATCATCAGTATTCTGATGTAAATACACATCTTTATCGGGAATCCTCTGGGGTTGAGCATTACTATGAAAACTTGTATGCATACACTTACTCTCATCCGTATTCGCAAACTTGTCCTTACCAGGTTCCACATACCTATCATTTTGATGGTAACTATCCAGACTCCTATTTGGTTCAGTTCGGTGATGGTTCTGTAGTGTTAGTGACAACTCCTGCAACTGTTCCTACATACAGAGATAAACAGACAGTATCGACAAGATTTAGGAATAACAGGAAGAAGATAGGATACCTTTACGCCTGTCATGGCCGTATCGGAAAACACAGGAAGCATCACAGCGGTATAGGAAATGCCGCTAAAATGCATCATATCAGAATCCTCTTCGACAAGTACCTTCCAAGTTACTTCAGAAAAGTTGGTATGAGATATTTTCACAAACGCAACAATTTGTCTGGAACATCATCTCCCTGCAGCGACGTTGAAGTACAGGAGGATGAAGAAGAAGCTTCTGTTAACTATGATGAATGTGCATTGCTGGAAATTGAACTTGAGGAGAGAGGAAGTTCCGTGGAAGACCAACTATTTGATGAAAGTTCTCACACAAATGAAACTCTAGAAGTTAGCTCTAATGAGGTCACCAACATTCAGTTTCAATTGTTTGAAACTTCATTGGCTCTAAATTATGTAAGTAAACTTAACGCTAAACTCATTCCTGGTGACTGCGGGTTTACTTTGATCCAAAATGATAGAGAAGGTGAAGTAGTAAAAATTGAGATTCAGAAAAACTCAAAAAGTGAGGTGGATCAAGTGTTTGATAAAATCTCTCAAAGGTATGACACCAATCTGATGGATAAGCAATGCGATGACAATGTTGGGGATGTGCCTTTAGAGATCGAAGATGAATATCTTGATATTGTAAACTCCAGAAATCATGTGGACACGGTGTTCGATGAAAGTCTTCTAAAGGTTGAAGAATCTCTCCCCAAAACAAATAACTCTTAGTGAAGGTGTTAAAATTGGAAGATCAAATATAATCTCAAGCTGCCATTGTTGTGGCAGTTGAGCTCAAACGAGAGAAGAAGAGAGAACAGTGGAGACTTCTGGAAGAAAGATATTTTGGGGAAAAGAAAACTGATTTCATTCTTCATTGTATATCCTATATATACATGTAAAATATAATGACAACTACCATTGGCTAATTACAAGAGTACCCTAACTAGTCTACTCAACTTTTGCTAACTAGAGATATGACTATACAACTATACACATAAATACAAAAATAAAATTGATACTCTTAATACTCTCCCTCAAGTTGGAGGTGAGGTAATCACTGCCAACTTGCTAAGAACAGAACTATGCTTGATGCCTGTCAAGGCCTTGGTAAGAATGTCTGCTAGTTGAGTATCTATGGAGATGTGATGCAAGGTAATGAGGCCATCGTGCACCTTGTCGCGGACAAAATGACAATCTACCTCTATGTGCTTGGTGCGTTCATGAAACACTGGGTTTCTTGCCATGTATGCCGCAGCCTGACTATCACAAAAAACTGGTATAGGATGTTGGCAAGGTACTGTCAATTCTTCTAGCAATCGTTTGAGCCAGACTAATTCTCCAACCACCTTTCTAATTGATTTGTATTCTGCCTCTGCAGAGGAAAGGGAGACTGTTTCTTGCTTCTTGGACTTCCAGCTAATGGGACTATCCCCCAGTAAGACAAGGTAACCACTCACTGATCGTCTAGAATCAGGGCATGTAGCCCAGTCTGAATCACAATAGGCTTTTATAGTGCAATCTGGATCGTTGGAGAGGAAAATGCCCAAGGATGGATCATTCTTAAGATGCTTCAAGACATGAAAATCAGCCTTAAGGTGTGGCTCTCTAGGTGTTTGCATGAACTGGCTTAAGTGTTGTACACTATAGGCAATATCTAACCTTGTATTGGTAAGGAAATTGTGCTTCCCTACTAATTTTCTGTAATAAGTAGGGTCTGCAAGTAAAGTTCCCTCTTCTGCCTTCAATTTGAGAGTACAATCTAGAGGAGAGGAGACTGTGGTGTATTGATTGTCATATTCTTTTAACAAATCAGCAGTGAACTTCCTTTGTGAAATGAGAACCCCATTGTTTTTGTAGAACACTTCCAGTCCCAAGAAGTAGTGCAATTTCCCCAGATCCTTGATTTTAAATTGATCATGGAGGAAAGATTTTAGTGCCTTAATTTCTTCTACATCTGTGCCTGTAAGGATCACATCATCAACATAGACAGCTACAAATACAATTGAAAGCCCATTCTTTTGATAGAACAAGGAATAATCATTCTCTGAATGTCTAAAACCCCTAGTGCATAATGCTGTAGTTAGCTTGTCATACCATTGTCTGCTTGCCTATTTTAGTCCATATAAGGACTTGTTTAACTTGCAAACCAGGCTAGGAACCTCAATCTGTAGTCCCTATGGTACCTCCATATACACTTCTTCATGTAAATCTCCATGCAAAAATGCATTGTTCACATCTAATTGAAACAAGTCCCAGCTTCTTTTGACTGCTATACTGATCAAGGTCCTAACAGGTGTCATCTTGACAACTGGAGAGAACGTTTCATTGTAGTCTATTCCTGCTTGTTGTGTGTATCCTTTCACTACAAGCCTTGCTTTAAATCTCTCAACAGTCCCATCTGCTTTGTGTTTGATTTTATATACCCATTTGCACCCTGTAGCCTTCTTACCTGCAGGCAATGTCACTAGGTCCCATGTATGGTTAGCATATAAAGCCTCAAACTCTTGTGTCATGGCAGCTTGCCATGCAGGGTTTAAGGCTGCCTCCTCATAAGAAGTTGGTTCAGAATCATGTGAAATACTTCTCATAATATGCTGACTATTATTATTTAAGGCAGTAAAGCAGATGTGTTGACGGTTTGAAGTGGTAAGATTTACTAAGGCAGTGTGTGAGGTATTTTTCTTTAAATTTGGAAGAGAATACACATATTCATTTAGGTAACTCGGTGTTTTGACTGTTCTGGATGGTCTTGTATCATTTCTGGTGTTTAGAGTATTGGTGGAATGATGGTCTGAAGTGTCTGAAGAATTGGGTGAAGCCTCAGGGGAACTTGTATCAACAGATGGGGAGTTACTTTGATCTAAAGGTGAGGAAACATTTTGATCATTTGGTGAAGGAATGTTGGTGACAGAACTTGGTGCAGTCCCATTTGATGACTGACTGTTACCCAAAGCATCATCTTTGTAACCCATACATGTATGATCAGAGAGAAAAAATGGCAAGACACAAGGAAAAGAAGTGTGAGCAGAAGACACTATAAAAGGAAAAACATGCTCATGGAATTGTACATCCCTGGAAATGTGTATTCTCTTAGTGGCTAGGTTTAGTACCTTGTATCCTTTTGTGCCAAAAGGGTATCCCACAAAGACATGGGGCTCAGTTCTAGGTTCAAATTTGTCTTTATGAGTTTTGAGAACAGTGGGGGTAACATAAGCATCCAAAGCTTTTAAGGTGTGAATACTTGGGTTTCTTCTTGTAAAGCATTTCAAAAGGTGATTTGTTATTTAGGATTGTAGAGGGTAATCTGTTGATCAAATATGTGGTTGTGAGGATGCATTCACCCCAATATTTAATGGGCAATTAGGATTGATATAATGGGGCTCTTGCAGTTTCTAACAAATATCTGTGTTTCCTTTCTACCACACCATTCTGTTGAGATGTGTATGGACAGGTTTTCTGGTGTATAATACCTTTGGAATTGAAGAATGATGAGGTTTCAGTGTTGACAAATTCCAGTCCATTGTCAGACTTCATGGACTTAATGGAAGAACTGAACTGGTTTTCTATCATGTATACAAAATTTTTCAGCACCTGAAGAGTGTTGCTTTTACAGCTTAGGAGATATGTCCATGTGGACCTACTGAAGTCATCAACTATTGTAAGAAAATACTTGTAATTATCATGGGTCACTGTGTGGTATGGTCCCCAGAGATCTATGTGTAAGAGGTCAAAAGCATTTGTGGAGGAAGTAGTTTTCTGAGGGAATGTCAATCTTGTTTGTCTGGCCATAGGGCAGATTGAACACAAGAATGGTTGTTTGGGTGCAAAAGTTACAGGTATGGAGGATATCCCCCTCATTTTCACAAAAGGTACATGGCCTAAC